CCCTGGTCTATAGGAAACAGCCTGACTATTCTGGGATAGAATGAAACAGACTGTACACTAGCAATACGACACAACAATTCTTCAAAGGAGAAGTGAGTAACAAGTTAAAACTGCTGGAGTTTGACCAATCAGGTCACTGGACATAAAAAATTCTAGTCAACCCCCACACCTCCTTCCTTTCCTCCCTATGACTGGAGTTATTTTTACTGGCTATTTGACACTGAATGGTCCCTTGCAATGTGTTAACTACTTATATTAAACATCTGTTCCATCTTGTATTTAGCTGTGACACTTTGAGCCCTGGTTTACGCTACAAAATTATGTTAGTATAACTATGTCGCTCAGGGGGGTGGATTTTCCACTCCCCTGAGCAATGTACTTATACTGAACTAACTCCTGGTTTAGACAGGGCCATGTCGACAGTCGGGCTTCGTCGACATAGCTACTACCTCTTGGGGAGGTGGAGTACCTGCACCAACACGAGACGCTTTCTTGTCAACAGAGGTAGTGTCTTCAGTAAGCACTACAGTGGCACAGGGGCAGTGACACTGCTGTAAGTGTACACAAGCCCTGAGTAATAAAAGATATTACCTCACCCACCTTCTCTCTCTAATATCCTAGGACCAACATGGCTACAACACTGCATATAGCTCAGAGTTTTAAGTCTCATTCTGACCATGGCACCTTTTGCAGAACTGCACCCTCTGGCACCATAATGAGCCACTGTTTTAATAATGATTCAGAGGGAAGTATCACCAGCTCTAATTTGTACATGACCTGTGTTTTGAGGATTCATTTCAGGAGTGACCAGGATTGAATCTGTTTAGCTTGTGAGATTGTCTATCCCTCATTTCCATAAAATACAAGTTTACTCCGAACTTTCGTTTGAATAAAGAAAGTTCTGAAAAGAACGTTAGGTATACATTAGATAAATATGTTTAATCAGTCATGCCCCAGCAAAATGGTCTCTTTTCCAGAACAATAAATTCTACACAGTGTTACTGAAGTTAACCCCATCACTGGATCACCAGCCAGGCTGCTTCTTTTCAGTTAATCCTATCAAGTCCAATCTCATTCAGCCTTCTCTTCATATTTGGCCAGCTCACAGGTAAGGTTGATCTTTGGATAGTTCCCACTTCTCAAGTGAAACACCTGGTGTCACTGGCTTTTTCTCAGTTGTTGCTACTGCAGATTCTGAGCTAGGGGAGAGACAGAGACTGGCCTTAAGAAACTGTTAGTTTATATAATCAGTTCATATTTAACAGCAATACAGGGTTTGTTAGTAACATAGAACATTTTAGGGAAACCATTCCCAACCCTAACATCCCCTCTTACTCAAAAGAAGGTGCATAGAGACGGCACACTAATTCAGCATTCACTCACTAGCAGTCAACATCATTTATTGCATCAGCAATGCATTATATGGTGGTGCACCAGCCAAATACTGACCAGACTTGACTCCGCTTAGCTTGCAAGATCACAATATCACAGCCGGACGTTGCATGGCTGCTGATCATAGGATCAATAGGACCTACCTGGCATCTTGAGTGCATGATGCGAGGGATTTCTGCGGAGACATAACAATAACTGGAGGGTAGGACTCCCTGCGTCCATCACGAGTACAGTAGTAGTTATTTGCAAACTTGTGACTGGGACCCAGTGGAAGTTTAGGAGGTGGTTGAGTTCTAAACAGCAAACAACCCAAAGAAAGCATCAGCACGCACCATGCTAAGTGAGAACAATATTCTCAGTCTTACTCTTGAGTGGAGTATTAGGAGAAATAGACACTGTAGTGTTATGCACAGGACACGCTAGCATTGTATCTTGAGCCACCTTCCAAGATTTCAGAATGAGCACAGAAAGCCTTAGACACAGTCATGGCTACGAATACAGAACTGGGGCCATGAATTCAGAGCATCTGTTAATGTAAACAAAGGCTCACAGGGCAAAGAATAACAACCCAATCTCTCTCAGGGACAGAAATAGAAAACAGGGTAGAGTTCCAAACATGTATGTTCTAATTCCCCTGCAGTATATTAAAAGTTAAGGAAACATCATTACCCAGTATCAAACCAGGAGAGAAGTAGCCTGTATCTGGACTATGTTAACAAATCTGAGGAAAGAGCAAGCAACAAAAAGGACATCCAGAAAACTGTCACTCTCTCAGAAGAATCCTGTAGTCTTTAAAGGACTACTCTAAAAACAGAGAGACCTGCTTCAAACGAGAATACATCTCTTAATCAAACATCATTACTGGGTTCCAACATACAGGTGGAAAGCAACAAGTTAATTCCAGTTACTAGAACATGAGTATAGCTGCTGCTGAGAAGACAGAAACCAGGAACCAAACCTTTAGAGAACTGAGAGTGAGAAGAGGCAGAATCTGATATCTTGTACAGTAACTCCTTGCTTAACATTATAGTTATGTTCCTGAAAAATGTTTATTTTAAGTGAAATGATGTTAAGTGAATCCAATTTCCCCATAAGAATTAATGTAAAGTGGGGGGTTTAGGTTCCAGGGAAAAAATTTTCGCCGAAGACTATATATACATACATACATATTCACAGTATAAATTTTAAGCAATTTAATACTGGACACAGCAATGATGATTATGAAGCTTGGTTGAGATGGTGAAGTCAGAGGGGGGGGATATTTCCCAGGGAATGCCTTACTGCTAAATGATGAACTACCACTCGGCTGAGCCCTACACAGTGTAGCCTCACACTCTACAAGGCAGCAGGAATGGAGGGAGGAGACACAGCATGGTGCAGAGAGAGAGACACACACAGGTGTGTGTGAGCGCGAGACACACACACACCCTGTGTGTGCGTGAGACGCGCGCATTGCCCCGTTAAGTACGCTGATGCCACTCTTAAGTACATTGCCTTTTTAAGTAGATCAGCAAATTGAGACAGCAACTGCTGCCAGCAAGCTCCCTCTGTCCTGAGCCCTGTTGCATCCCCCTATGGTGATGGGGTAAAGGAGCGGGGGACACCCTGACATTAGCGTCCCTCTTCCCCCCGTCTGCACAGCAAGCAGGGGGCTCTCGGGGGGGGGGGGGGGGAACTGATAGTCTGCTGGGCGGCTGCCATGCAGGGAACTTAGGGGAGCTGCTGGTCCACCCTGGTTCCAAGCCCCCATCAGCTAGCTCCAACGGGCTGCTCTTTCTGCAAGCAGTGGACAAAGCAGGCGGCTGCCAAACAACCTTATAAAGGAGCATTGCACAACTTTAAACAAGTATGTTCTCTAACTGATCAGCAACTAACCAGGGCGAGTTAAGTGAGGAGCGAATGAAAGTTTCCATTTGCACGCAGTTGGCTTTCGGGAGAGATGAACTAGAAGTCTTACTCTCCATTTCCTACCAGGCAGGGGTCTACATCCCTATTAACACTAAATGGACCTAAGCTGGGATATCACAGGTGAGGAGCTGACCACCCAGATGTGGTGGTCTGAGCTTCTTTCCTTATCAGATGCCAATCAGCCATTATGTGGGTGAGTTTGCATCCTCTTTTTCTTTTTAAGCAATGCAATGGTGAGGCTGTAACTTTAAATACAAAAGTTGGGGAAAAAAAGTTAATATTTCCACAGCAATATTAATTCGGCTATGTGAAACAGGATTTTGAGTTCTTTGCAAGGCTCAAGAGTAACTATTATGCAATTATATGCAACAGAGAAAGCTAATGTTGCTATTGAAATCTTATGTGTGATCAACAAAAAAGAAAAAATAGGTATTGCTTCTTTAGGAAAAGTAAAGAGACCTGAAAACTTTGTGGCCCCCCCCCCAGCTTTGTTATTTACCTTAGAAATACCAGGACTGTCCAGTCTGGTTTTGCACTCCCTAAATGAAAAATGATTGGCTGGAGCACAGTCTTAAAAATTCAATATGTTTCTCCGGCATTTTAATTAACTGTAATATTTTTTTTTAAAACTACAGATGTAAACTGAATAAAAATTACTTCCCCTCATGATCAAATTTTGCTTGTGTGGCATTGGATATTATTACCCTATTAGAGCCTCAGAGTTTTTCCCCCTCCCTCCCAAAAAGAGAGAAACAAGACTTGCATTTCTAATATAAAATAAGCAGAAAGAGAGCAGGGAGAAACTTTCAGGTCTTTATGTACTGAACTCAGAAAACAGCACTAACCCATTTTTCGACCTTTGAAGGCCTCCTTTAACAGCTCCTGAGATTTGTATTTAAATTGGTAGCAACAAGTTACTAATAAATATTATGATAATTTTGTCTAAAGTTTATTTTATCTCCTGCTGATACATTTAAGGTTCCTATGCATGAAAGATTAGTGAGAACAGTTGTTTTCTCTCTTCTTACGCCAAGCCGCATGGCTGTATTCAAGCTTATGCTCAAATAAATGTTAGTCTCTAAGGTGCCACAAGTCCTCCTTTTCCTTTTGCAGATACAGACTAACACGGCTGCTACTCTCAAACCAGTTCGGGTCCAGGTACGCTTCGCCCTTTCCCCTTTGCGGTTGGAGAGTTTCAGCTGCGCTTGCGGGGTTTCCACGCATACCAACACAAGGAGAAGGGCTTGCCTAGGAGCAGACCAGCTCTGTCCCCACCTCCCCGGCCTTACCTCCTGGAGATCTCCGTGTACCGAAGCTGTAGCTTGGCTTGCAGGTCCCGCTGTAAAAGAAGACGAGAGGGTCTCAGGGAGGTGCGAGCCCGGGGGCAGGGGAGACGGGGTCCAAGTGCGGGCAGGACGCACAGGGCAGTAGGGAGAGCCGGGGGAGCGGGCCGCGCCACCCTGGTCCCCGCACGAGGGCGGTGCTAGGCCCCGCCGACCGCGCCCCAGGGATTCGGACAGGCCCGCGCGAGCCTCTTACCCCCGCCGCCCAGTTGCGGAGCCGCTGGATGAGGCGGGTGGCGGACGCCATTTTGGCCGCTGTGAAGGGCGCCGCCGCGGTGCGAGCTGGGAAGCGGCGCGGCGCTTGTCGGGAAAGGAGAGGACGCCAGCGGTGCGCGGCGCATGCCGGGAAGGAGAGACAGCGCGGTGCACGCTGGGTCTCGCGATAGCTGGGGCTATATAAGCGCGCGAGGGGGGGGGGCTCCCCCTCTCCTATCCGCATCTACAGCAGCCGCCATGGATACGAGCCGCGTGCAGCCCATCAAACTGGCCCGGGTGCGAGAGAGCGGGGCCGGGCCGGGCCGGGCCGGGGGTTAGCGCTGGGCTGGGCTGGGCTGGGCCGGGGGTTAGCGCTGGGCTGGGCCGGGCTGGGCCGGGGGTTAGCGCTGGGCTGGGCTGGGCTGGGCCGGGGGTTAACGCTGGGCTGGGCCGGGCCGGGCTGGGCCGGGGGTTAACGTCGGGCCGGGGGTTAGCGGCGGGCTGGGCCGAGTCGGGCCGGGGGTTAGCGGCGGGCTGGGCCGAGTCGGGCCGGGGGTTAGCGGCGGGCTGGGCTGGGCTGGGCCGGGGGGCTGGGCTGGGGGCCGGGCCGGGCGGGGTCTCTCTCTGCGCCTGGCTGACCCGAGTCTCCCCGCAGGTCACCAAGGTGCTGGGCCGGACGGGCTCACAGGGCCAGTGCACCCAGGTGAGTGACCCCCTCGCCCCGCCCTAGCGAGAGCGGTTCAGGAGCGTCGTGGGCTCCCCTCCCAGGCCTTGGACTGAGCCCCGGGGAGCCGGGCCGGTGCCCAGGCCGCTGGGGCTCGCCAGTGGCGGAGAGTTCCGCAGGTTATTTTCCTCTTACGGCTTTGGTTTGTCCCCCGTGTAATTTAATTGCCGGTTCCCTTGTCCCCGTGTTGCGAGGGGGGGAACGGACTTTCCCCATCTGCCATTTGTAGACGCCCCCCGGCGTTGTGTGCTCCTCGCCGTCTGGCCTGGGCCTCGGGCCGAGCGCTCAGCTCCGTGGGGCAGGGGCGCAGCGGACTCGGGCCCGGGAGCTGAGCAGGCCTGTCGGCGGCAGGTGGCCCAGGAAAATGGGGGTTTCGAGCGTTTCTGTTCGTTCTCTGCTGTGGCTGTCAGGTTCGTGTCGAATTCATGGACGACACCAGTCGATCCATCATCCGGAACGTGAAGGGGCCTGTCCGCGAGGGGGATGTCCTGACGCTGCTGGAGTCCGAGCGTGAAGCAAGGCGCTTACGCTGATCTGTGCTGCAGCTGGGTAACTCATTTCGTTTTTGGGCTCTAATCAAGCCCTTCTTGGATCTGAGATGTTAACCTTCACTGTGAATAAATTAAACACCCAGTCAGGATTTTTTTTTAAAGTGAATTTCTGGTTAAGAAACCAGAAAATCATTAGTCTGTCTAGGCCTAGAGCATGTGTTTGGGTTCTGAGACCGTTGCTCTGTAGAGTGTTCACAGGTGTTTGCTTTGAGGCCATAACAACCTTAATACTGAATATTTGAGTCTTGTGCTTTGTCTTGAAGACATAATATGGTTAAACCTAAGATTTCCTCTCTTGGGAGTCAGAGGAACAGCCGTGTTAGTCTGTATTCGCAAAAAGAAAAGGAGTACTTGTGGCACCTTAGAGACTAACCAATTTATTTAATTATATAAATTGGTTAGTCTCTAAGGTGCCACAAGTACTCCTTTTCTCTTGGGAGTGGTGCCCATCACTTTACTGCATATAACTGTGACACTCCATGTGTTGGGTCTGCACTCCAGCAGTGTTTACAGTTTGAATACAGCTGTGAAGAATTGAGGTAGCAGTCCTAAGAACTGACCGCAATTTGTCTTTGTCTACAGTAACTGGAAAATCATAGTTGTTGCTTGTCATCTACCCCAGTTCTTCATAGAACGATGTTCTTCATAACTGTTCAAATACAGTAACTTTTTGTCGTTTGGACAACACGAGAGTGTGATACTTGCCCCTCTCTGCAGGCTTGGGAGAACAGGGCTAATTGCTTTACTGCAGCTTTTGCCCAGAGTTGCTCTGCAGCCTTTTCATGCTGCTATAGAGCAAGATATTGGTTTGGAAAAACAGATGGAACAATGGGTTCCTGGTCCGTGTCTAGGGCACCTAGGTGTTATGATAATACAAATAAAAAACTTTTTTGAAGGTGATTTGTCCAGGTGCAGCCTTTGATCCAGGCTGGACTTCAGGCCAAAGAGGAGCCATATGTAATTGTTTGAGTGCTCAGGTTCTGCTGGCTGTGGTTTTTCCTATGTGTAAACTGGAGAGCGCAGCCTGTTTCTGTAGAATGTTCTACTTCTGGGGCTCAGGCATGTGTCTGGGCAATTAATTATTTTGAAAATGGCCCAGGATATTTCCATTTATGTAATGGTCTCCTGTCCACAGGAAGCTGTAATTGGTCTTCAAGTTTCGATGAAATATGGTGGGTGAGAGCAGGCAGGTGAAATTCTGAATTCCACTTACTGCAGTGACGTGCAAATGCCCCATTAACCACATTAGGGCTGTTTGACTCCTGAATTAACCATAGGAGCAAAATGAAACTCTCATTTTTTCAGTTATCTCTAGTCCCTCTTCCCCCGCCTCCCCTCCCAAGCCTTGGAAGATAATGTGAGACTCTGATCTGCATTTCTTTATAGATGGCAAGCCTGATGTGACTACCATTTCTGATTTCCTGTAATGAAGCGACAGTTCATATCTACTCCGCTTGACTTAGTGAAGAGGAATGTTGTGTTTCAGAGACTAAAATAAAGGATTTTTTTCCAGTAACATTTTTCCTTGCTCTCAGTTATTTAAGAAACAAATGTTTGCTGGTTATGTAAACAGAACAAAGTTCTATAGGAAGAAAATATTGAAACTACTTCCAGAGGCTACCTCTTCTGAGCTACCGTGTCCCTCTCTTTCATTTAAAACTCATTACAAGTGCTGTAGCTGAATTGCCATACAAAAGATCCCATCTGGTGATGGCTGACACTTCATGCTGGAAGCCAGTGCTTTTCTATACATTCTCAGACCTCAGCAGTACCAAGACTGACAATATTAATCAACAAAAAAAAGCTTTGAGACCATGGGCTGTCGGGCATGAGGTAACAAAAGCTTTTCAGCTGTAATTAAAGCTAAAATTATGTGTGGAAGTCATGGAATCCGTGACCTCCGTGACATTGGCTAACCAGCTGCTGCCGGCAGCAGGGGACCCCACAGAAGCCCAGCCTCTGCTGGATAGCTGTGGGTGGCAGGACCCTGGTAATTGGCTGGCTGGTGGTGGTGACCCCTGAGCTGCCTAGCTGCTGCCACCAGTGGCAGAGGGGACCCTAGAGCTGCTCGGCGCTGGCAGGGTTCCTCTGCAGCTCACAGCCCCGCGCTGGGCAATGGAGTCCCTGCAGCTCCCAGCTGCTGGGTGGGGGTTGGGGAAGGTGCTGGACCTTCCCTCCCTGTTTTGTATGGGATGTTTTTAGTAAAAGTCAGGAACTTCTGTGATTTTTTTTTTTTAAATTGCCCGTGACCTGTCCATAACTTACTAAAAAATATCCATGACAAAATTGTAGCTTTAGCTCTAATGCCCTTTTTGGTGGGAGGATTATAGCTGTGTTTTATGTAGTAGTAGCTAGAGGCCTCAACATAGATCAGAGGCCCATTGTGCTAGGTGCTGCACGTGTACCTAGTGAATGATAGTCCCTGCCTTAAAGCTGCCCTGTGCCAGTCTTAAACTAAGAGCTTCTGTTTATGGGTAACTTGCACCAGTTGAACTTAGGATGTGAGTTAGTTAAACTAGTGAAACTTTCTCATAGGGCCAAAATAAGGGGACTTGGCTAAGGTCACCCAGCAGATCAAAGGCTGAGCTGGGCCAAGAAGCCAGGTGTCCTGACTTCCATTTCACTAGCTCATTCTGCCTCCTGTATGCTGGGTTACCCCAGAGTTATCAGGACTAGAAAACCTAACCACTGAGCCATTTTTTCCCCTCCATTCTGGGAACAAATACCTGCATCTTGACTGACTCATTAAGAGTCTGTATGCTTTTCTGGACCTGCCTCTTACAGCCAAAATATGCATGCAGGCCCTCTTACCTCTCACTGTGGCTACTGTAGCCTCCCTTCTGGTTTACTTGACAGACGTTGCCCCATCCAGTCAATCACTCTCCTGTTGATCCTATAACCTTCACCCCTCCACTACATCAAATTCAAGCTGCTTCTGGCACACAAGTCCCTGCTTCCCACCTACCCAATCTCTTACTGAGGTGCCTCCAGCCTGCTTCATTAATGATCTCCCATTTGTTTATTTTCACAGCCATCTGTGCAGGCTTCCCTCAGCATAGCATATGCAGAGAATACTTCCCCTAAGATGGCATTATCAGGCCACTCCCTCTTATCTCAAGTTCCTACAACATCCATAAAGAAAGAGTTAGCCAAGGGTCTTTGTCAGTGTATTTGTAATATAAAAACAAATCTCACCTGGTTGTGCCCACAGCCTATGATCCTCTGCCTGATTTTGTTGCTGTGTCCCCCCCCACCCTGTTTTGTCCCCTCCTGTTGTGTGTCACTTATCAGAGCTGGGGCTGTATCTTTTGTGGCCTTATGACACTTATCCTGCTTTTGGGCACTTAAGGGGTCCGTCTCCTGTTTCTGGGTCCACTCCAATCCACAAAGCTCCCACCCCGCACTGTAGGCATGTAACCTTACTTGGCACCCAAGTTTTCAGGGTAAAAGTCCCCTCAGTGCCTAAGCTCCTGCCTGTAGCCGTGTGCTGCTGTCTCCTGTTCGCTATCTGAAGGCCTATCCCTTGCTTAAGCAATTCCCAAAGCTGGGGAAGACACATTCGTCCACCGGAGTTGGGGGCAGGGTCCTGTCTGGTGGGTGTGCTCAGAGACTGCCTCTTGGATTGGGTCCACTTCAAACTCTGGCAGGAGGAGGTGCTGCTGCCACATTATAACTGACCCAAGCACTTGCCTGGGATGTGGGAGCACCAGGTTCACTTCCTCCTGCTGGAGGGGGAGAAAGGCTTTGAAGAGGGGATCTCCCAGCGGCTGTGCTATGGGATAGCTGCACGTCCAGCTCCCCTCAGTCTGCCTTGGTGGGGCTGCTCCGCGGTGGGAAAATAAGCCTCACTGGAACAGGAGGCCTGCACCCAAGGCTGCCCACCTGGGTGCACTAATCACCAGGCTACATTCTCTGCCTCACATGCACTTTCTTAGTCTTGCTTTTGGCCCAACGACTAGCTAAATATTTAATCCACAGTGGAGCAATGTCATGAGGCCAGGCTGAGGGGTATCAGTATCCCATAGCTCTCTGGTTAGTGCCCTCACCTGAGATGTGGGAGACCTCCTCTTGTAGCCTTTGTCCCCTGCTAGCAGAAGGGAGAATTGAAGTGCCAGGTGAGTTGGAAGGTGGCTCCTCCAGCTGTTTTGTGTGGAGTGAGGCAAGCACCTACCAGGCCCACAAGAAGCTGCCTGACTCCAGCTAGCACTGTGGGCTCCTATTCTTGCCCCCTGGACTCAGGTGCTTAGCTCTGTGAGGGGGCAGGGCTCAGCCCACACCTGTGGTTGGCATTGCCCACTAGCTAGCCCTTCACTGTACAGGAGCCTAGGTGCCTGACTCAGCCTTGTGGCTACCACTGTCGCTCCTGATGATTTTACTAGCTGCCTTAAAGTTCAGCATTGCTACACTGAGCATTGTGCTGCCTAAGTCCCTTTGTGGATCCAGGCCTCACGCACTAACCAGAGCTAGCGCATGGGAGGAGTTCCCCAGCCATGGGTTGTTCATCTGGCAGACCGCAGCCTTGGCGGTAACAAGAACAATTGTAATAATGTCATCTTCAGCCCCTGATTTCCCTTGTCTATTCTGTTTGTGGGAATTAGTCAGTGCAGTGATAGCCCATTCCAAGGTGGCTGAGCAGGTCTGATAGGGCATTACCAAATTCAGGGTCCACTTTGGTCAATTTCATCATCATAGGATTTTAAAAATAATAAATTTCATGATTTCAGATATTTAAATCTGAAATTTCAGAGTTGTGTAACTGTGGGTTGTGGGGCCAGCGTGGTCACAAGATTATTATAGCCAGCATGCGGTATTGGCACTCTTACTTCTGCTCTGCTGCCTTCAGAGCTGGGCGGCTAGAGAGCGGCGACTGCTGGCCGGGAGCCCGGCCCTGAAGGCAGCACCGCAGAAGTCAGAATGGCCTGGTAGGGTATCGCCACCCTTCTGTGCTACTGCTTGAGGAGTGCTGCCTTCAAAGCTGGGTACCTGGCCAGCAGTTGCTGCTTTCCAGCCATCTAGCTCTGAGGGCAGCGCGGAAGTAAGGGTGGAAATACTACAACCCCCCGCTCCTCCCCCCACAATAACCTTGCAACCTCCTTTTGGGTTGAGGACCCCACCCCCAGTTTGAGAACCGCTGGTCTCCCCTGTGAACTCTGTAGAGCATTGGGTAAAAGTACACAAAAGACCAGATTTCACGGTCTCTTGACACATTTTTCATGGCTGTGAATTTGGTAGGGCTCTGCTGATAGGAGCAGCGAGTGCTGAGTGCACAAATACCAAAGAGATGATGCTAGCACGTGGGCTGGCCTCCCATATGACCACGTGGGCCTTAGTCTAACCAGCACATCAGGACAGAGCAAAGGGGCCAGGAATTGCAACTGAGAAATTAATTCATAGATTTTAAAGTCCAACGTGACCCTTTTTGCTAGGCTGACCTGCCTAACACAGCTGAATATTTCACCCAGTGATTCTTACGTCCAGCCCACACCTTCTGGAAAGCTGCCTGGGGGAAGCAGGCATAATTGCTTCAGCCAATGCATAAGAAACTTGGAAGAAATCATGTGAAACCACGAGCTGGTAACCTTGTTCTGTAAAGCTCAAGTTCTGGACACCTCAGTTGGAGGCAGCCTTAAATGGTTAAGGGGATGCTGATGGCACCTTGACTTGATTTTAAAATATATTTAATTTTACATTTTATTTATATTTTTAAAAATAAACCATATTAAAATATGAGCAAACAGAGACACCAGGCGAAAGCATTTTCATGGGTGGAACATACAAAGCAAGTGTAATTAGCTGGGTTTCCAGGCTAGAGAGCTGCTGTGAACATCCTACATCCACTTCACTGTATAGCAGACAGGTCTGCTGCAACAAGCATGGGAGCCTCGGCCCAAATCCTTAAAGGTATTTAGGCACCTAACTTCCACTGAAATCAATAGGGGTTAGAGGCCCAAATACCTCTGAGGCTCTGGGCTTTTGCCCATTGCTTATCAGAAGAGCAGTTCTCAGATTCTATAAAACGTGGCTCAGACAAAGTCTGGTTGGGACAAATAACTGGTCTGGGAGAGTAAGGCTGGAACTGCTGGCTCTACACCAGTGGTCCCCAAACTGTGGGGTGCGCTTCCCTTTGGGGGCGTGGAGGAATGTCCAGGGGCTGCCCAGGCCAGCCCCGCTCTGCCCCCAGTTCCGCTCTGGCCCTGCTCCTGGCCGTGGCTCAGCCCCTACTCTCAGCCCCTGGTCCTCACCCCCAGCCATGATTTGGCTCCCAGCTGGGGCGGGGGGAATGTGGACACATCCCATGACTGGTAAGTGGGAGGTGAGGGTGGGGGAGAGGAAAAGTTTTGGGACCACTGCTCTATACTGATAACATAGAAGCAGCCAATGGTAACAAACCCAGCTGTAAGCTCTCAAATGCCCCAGGTGCTCCAGCATCGTTGTCTACTAACTCAAGGACATGTAGGTGTGTCCTGGCTCAGCCTTTGTGGTTCTGAGCTAACACACCTGCCATGTGATGGGAAG